ATTGCCAGAGCTACCCCAAGACTTAAATTATGATGGTTCTTGTATGGCATCTTTCCAATCATGTTGCTGGTCTCAGTTTCATGGTATAACGCTTCACAGCAATTCCTCCTCTTTCTGCTCTGTGAAAAGTAGGTAGGTAAATAGTGCATCTGATTTGGTCTGATGACTTGTACTGATGGTTGCATTTTCCTTGTCTGAGTTTTCAATGTGGCAAAAAAAAAAAAAAACCAAACAAACCTGCACAGTGTATTTACTTGTTAATATTCACATTTTCTTCCTTGACTTAGTTAGTGTGCAGTCTTTCATTTCTTCCTCTTGTCTATGAAGCCTCATATTATATCCAGGATTTCTTCTTTATTCTGTTCAGAAATTCTTTATCTGGTGCTAATATTGTGCCTTTAAATCAGCGGTTCTCAATCTTTTTAGACTCAAGACACCACCTCCGTAACTTTCTGTGAACTGAGCAACATCCCCTTTCAAAAATTAACTTATTACAGTGCTTATCTTTGTTTATCTCCTTGAAGAGGGGGTGAATAGTTGGGGTGCTAAAGCAGCCAGGCAGAGATGAGCTTATGTACTTAGCTCCTGACACACTGTAGCACCCTGACTGAGACTCATTAAGTTTTTCCTACACCTCTTTTGGTGCCAATTCTTATCTCTTAAGCCCTTCAATGCCTTGCATCTAATTCTTGACCACCACTGCATATTCAGCACTGATCCTCATTCAAACCTAAGAATTCTGATTTGTTTGGGTAATTATTTAAGTCTAATTCTAAGCTTAGCTGAGAGGAGCTAGCAGTCACTGATGCATATTGACATTTTAAAAATGTTAAAAAACTGGAGAGGGTTCAGAGAAAATTATCCAAGGTCTAGAAAACATGCCTTACACCAAGAAACTTAAGAATTCAATTTATTTACATGATCAAAGATTAAGTTAACAGGGACTAACTCAGAGTACAAATACTTATCCTGGAAGAAACGTCACATTTTACAGGGATACAGGTTTTAGCCATGTTGGTCCACAGGCAAAAGTATTCAGAACTCTTAGTAAAGGCGATATATTTTATTAGACTAACTAAATAATTGCAAAAAAAATGCTTTATTTGCAAGCTGTCAGGCTCATGTGCCCTTGTTTAGGCAAAGGAGAATGCACAAATTGTAATATTTCTCCCATGTAGAAATTAAACTTCATATTACACAAGAGAATAGAAAGATGTTATTGGTTCCCCTGGGTGGAAAAGTTAATTTTATATAACGTAGGCTCAAATAAAAGTTGGAGCAGTCTGTTTACCTCCAAGGTGTCTGATGGCAAGCAGGGTGTTGATTTTTTCTTCTTTCTTGGTAAGATGTTTTCTATTGCACAGGAGAGAGGGTCTTGCTGTGCATTTGCTAGGGTAAAAAGCCCTGTAAAATCTGTATTCAGAACTCTTGGTAGAGGCAATATCTTTTATTAGACCAACTAAATAGTTGCAAGGGTCCGCTCTACCTTCTCTCCTGTGCAAAAATTAGGGCTAAAAAAAATCAGGTGTAGGTTGTGTCTGAACAATAGTTAGGAGAAACTCACTAGGCTAGGAAGTAAGCCTATTAGCTCCAAGTAAAAAAAAAAAAAAAAA